AAGACGGGCGTTTGTTGCAGGGCGGCAGCCGTCGTGGGCGCTCCTCACCGCGCCTCCATCAGCCGACACAGCCGACAGCTGGCGAACGCCTGCGCTGTGATTTGACCCGTCGCGTTCCTGCATCCAGCCGGAAGCGACGAGCATTGCTGACTCTTGGTCACCAGCCGACGAACATACCTTCGATACAAGCTGACACTGCCCGAGGTCCTGGGTCATATGTCTTGTCCCTGTCGCATGCCCCTGACTGAAGCCTTCCATGGCCCACGTCCGTTTGTATCTGTTTGGCTCAAAATGTCTGATAGTGGAGCACGCGGTGGTTACCGATGTGCGGCCTTTTTCAGCTAGTGATTCTGTCCTGCCTGGTGGCTGTCGCCGCTGCCGGCCACCTCGGTGTTTACGGAGGCATCAGTGGCGTATCAGCCGTTAAGGCAGCCGGCACTCCGGTCAATGTCTACACCCAGAGGCCCCTCCTGAAGTACGGCTACGGAGGCTTCGGAGGCATTGGAGGACCCTACGGAGGCGTTGGAGGACCCTACGGAGGCTTTGGAGGACTCAAGGGAGGCTTTGGAGGACTCTACGGAGGCTTTGGAGGACCCTACGGAGGCTTTGGAGGACCCTACGGAAGCTTTGGAGGACTCCACGGAGGCTTCGGAGGAGTCTACGGAGGTGTCGGAGGCTACGGTTCAGGAGCCGTTGGTGGATATGGAAAGCACTACGGCTATGGAGGCTTCAAGGCCTATCACTGATATATACACTGAAAGTTGACATAAGTCCCAGAACCGTCTTGAGATCGATCGTTTCTGGACGCATGGGATGCGCTGTCGGCGCGTCAGGCAGTGCGGGAGTGTGTGCATGCGTTTGTACGTGAAGAGCAATGTGGAATAATACAGCATGGCTGCTGACGTTTGGTCTTCTAGTTGTGCACACAGACGTGCACCCCTCAGACGTGCACCCCTCAGACGTGCACCCACAGACGTGCACCCCTCAGACGTGCACCCACATATGTGCATCCCTCAGACGTGCACCCCTCAGATGTGCACCCACAGACGTGCACCCCTCAGACTGCACCCTTAGACGTGCACCCCTCAGACGTGCACCCCTCAGACGTGCAACCACAGACGTGCACCCACAGACGTGCACCCCTCCGTATACCGGATGCCTCAACGTTTGCGCATGTCTATCAGTTTTGCGCATAATTTTGCACTGCGTTAGGCCGCTCAAACTTAAACGCTGCCTAGGCAGTAGTAGTAGCCTTATTTCAAGGAGAAAAACCAGGAGAATGGAGATATAAACGTGTTAGCATTTCGGCAACAAACCTTTATCGAAACGAGCGGCAGAAGTAAATTTAAGATTTTGCATTCACTTCTGCTATTCGTTTCGATAAAGTCATGCTGCCGACATATCATCGCATTTATAGCTCTATCCTGCCGGTTTGGCTCCTAGGAATAATGCTATTATTACCGTCTTATCCACGTGAATAATGTTCCTGGCAAATGCACTGAACAGCTTACGTAATTTTACACCTTGCTAGTAGAAATTCAAGAAGTCGTCTTAAGTCGGAGGCCGCATGATATGTCAAGTGATATCAGATATACAAATGATTCCAAACGGCGGATTCCCGATTCGAGTCGCCGGGGCCCCGGACTAGGACGGGGAGCTGAAGCTTAGTTCGGCTTGTACGAGTTTGTCGTTCCTTGCAAGCAGCTTGGCCCTGGGAATCACAGCATTCGGTACGGTCATTCAGTGATTTGACCGCTAAGTCACTTATTCCTGTGAAGCTTTCGGTAGAAACCGGGCGAAGCCGCCGTTATTCACTATGCGGTTGACGGAAACCCTGTCACTCCGCCGTGTGTTAACAGGTACCGATATAGCTATACAACAGACGGCATGCGATACAACATACCTTTTTCCAATCAGAAGCGTTCTGCTGTTTTCCCTAAATGTTATATTTTACGCAATGCATGACGTCAAGTCGAAGTATACAGACTCACATAGACACACCGTTATCAATAATGAACACTCTGTGAGCATCTGTAAGCATTTTAAGCTTACCCTCTCAGGGTCGCGAGTTTACCCTCTTCTGTGCGCCATTAAGTACTTACCAGGGGTACTTACGGCTTACCATTGAGTACTTACCAGGAGTACTTACTTACGGCTTACCACTGAGTACTTAGAAGTCGAGTGGTAGTTTTAAAGGACGTATATAACGCGAGACCCACTCACATGCTAGAAAACGAGCCGCAGCCGCAACTTACATCTGGATCAGATTCAAACAGCATGCCTCAGGCTCAGATGCAGACTTTTCGACTCAGGTCCATACCTCCCGCCAGATGCCCCCCCCCCCCCCCCCCATCTTCTTCTTCCGTCTCCCGGTGTCAGTAGCTTAAGAAATGCGACCCCACCAGCCGTGGAACCCGAGCATCGTGAAATTCTCAGCGACGCCCGCGGAGCACGCCGGCTGCCGACTCGGCCTCGAGCCCAGCCCGCGAGCGTCACGTAGGTGCGCTCGCCGGCTGTGGGTTTGAACGGCCGTGTGTTCCCACGTCTCGGCAGCTGGCGGTGCGCGGCAGCCGGCCGCACTCGAGGACCCGGCGGCCGGCGCGCGCAGGCGCCCCGCCGCCGGTCGCCACAAAGGCCCGAGACGCTGAGGGCCCTTGAGCTGGCCGGCTGGCGGCACCCCCGGGCGACTGACCCCTCCAGAGGCAGCCGACCCCGCCCCGGGCGCCGGTACCATCTGCCCGCTCGGTGGAGGCGACCGCTGGGGCCCGGGAACGGCACCCGCCGCTCCGTCCGCTCGTCAGGCCGGCACGGAGGGCGGAGGGAGGCCCCAGCGCCAGTCGGACAGGGGCGTATTCGATGCATATGCTGCGCGTGGATGGGTACTAGGTGGTGGCTAAGACCGCACGCAAACGGGGATGTGTTAAACGTAAGGTCACCCAAAAGCCAAGTCTGGAGAGAGGAAAGAGCCGCTTTTGTTAACATCTTCCGGGAGACTGTGTTTCATTGCTTTAAACATGCGACTTATATAGCCTGAACAGACTTCCTTTCCTTTATTCTTTCGGGAAATCCAATTGATAGCCGTTATATCCGGAAATCGTGCTCACGAAAGACAGATGGGTACGTGCGCGTGGGTGGGTGCTAGGTGGTGGCTAGGACCGCATGCAGACGGGGATGTGTTGAACGTAAGATCACCCAATAGCCAAGTCTCGAGAGAGGAAAGAGCTGCTTTTGTTAACATCTTCCGGGAGACTGTATTTCATTGCTTTGAACATGCGGCGACTTATATAACCTGAACAGACTTCCTTTCTTCTATTTTTTTGGAAATCCATTTGATAGCCGTTATATCCGGAAATCGCCCTCACGAAAGACGGATGTGAACGACTTGACAATTATGTTTATCTTGGTCTTGTTCGCCGCGTGACTAATGGACTAGCAGGCTTTGAATGGCGTCATTATGACGTCATGCATGCCTGGGTGACCTTGAAATCTCCACGAAATAGTCTGCATACCTTTATCAGTTACGTTATGTTGTTATGACATCGTTACAACATCATTATGTTGCTACGTTCATTAAGGCGTCGGCTACTTTGCGTTCAACTCAGAAACTAGAGGGGTTCAGGTCTTAAAGGGTACGGCTGTGAACTGCACCGAATGATCTTCAGCGTTGCTATTTCAGCTGAAACCCCACACAAATGTGGACCATACCCTCTCATGGTGACGCAGAGGAGGATCCACGCAGCAACAGCGTCTCGCGGGCATCGCCTTCGCCTGGATCGAGTGGACCCAGGCCATACTGCAACCGTTTCTGCCAGTCTAAACGCACGGTCAGAGAGCGTTTCGCTGCGCTTTGGGTCGCACCACAAACGGTGTTGGCGCAAATCGTGGGGGAGTATGTGAACATTGTGATCCTCAACAGCGTGTCGTTGGGACACTTTTATCGCCACCATAATCGATGGCCAGATCTACTCGCAGTTATCGTTTTCCCATAAGGAATCAAAATTCTTTTGGAATCGGGAGCCCAGGGCATGGCGCAACTGTTGGTAAACATACATGAAATATTACTCCGCGAAGCCTTTGCCACTGTGTACAAACACACGCTTATCTAGATGACAATGTGGTGCGAACTGAGAGGAAGTTACGAAACAGCGATGAGATTTTCCGGCCGGTATGGGGCAGCAGACGTCCTTCCTCCTTGGGAGAGAATTGGAATGGTAGCTGTTTGGATTATTTCTTTCTAGCCAGCGCACACAGAGCCAATGCTAGCTTTTCAGAGAGTTGTGGGTGCTTTGTGCCCTGTTTCATATGCCTCTGCCCGATACCCGGCACTCCCACCATCATGCCTTACGGTGGTGCAGCGCAAGGCACACGAGGATGCTGCATACCAATGATGATTTACGAGAACGCCAGATATCAAACGAATGATTTCTCATCTCTTTTTAATTCAAACGTCATTGAAATGGCTATACGAGCTCAACCCCCACCAAAAATTGGTGGTGCTGCTCCCGGCTGTCTATCCCCAAATGTTGAGCTCGCCGCTGCCCCTGCCCCTCTCAGTGGTGGTCTAGCTCGCCACTGCCCCTGCCCATCTCAGTGGTGGTCTAGCTCGCCGCTGCCCCTGCCCCCCTCAGTGGTGGTCTAGCTTGCCGCTGCCCCTGCCCCCCTCAGTGGTGGTCTAGCTCGCCGCTGCCCCTGCCCCCCTCAGTGGTGGTCTAGCTTGCCGCTGCCCCTGCCCCCCCTCAGTGGTGGTCTAGCTCGCCACTGCCCCTGCCCATCTCAGTGGTGGTCTAGCCCGCCCCTGCCCCTGCCCCTCTCAGTGGTGGTCTAGCCCGCCCCTGCCCCTGCCCCTCTCACTGGTGGTTTAGCTCGCCGCTGCCCCTGCCCCTCTCAGTGGTGGTCTAGCCCGCCGCCTGCCCCTGCCCCTCTCAGTGGTGGTCTAGATCGCCCCTGCCCCTGCCCCTCTCAGTGGTGGTCTAACCCGCCCCTGCCCCTGTCCCTCTCAGTGGTGGTCTAGCCCGCCCCTGCCCCTGTCCCTCTCAGCGGCGGTCTAGATCGCCGCTGCCCCTGCCCAGTGAAGCTCTAGATCACCCCCTGCTCTCCCCTGCTCCTCCCATGGAGGCTCTAGATCACCCCCTGCCCTCCCCTGCCCCTCCCAGTGAGGCTCTAGACCACCTCCTGCCCTCCCCTGCTCCTTCCCAGTGAAGCTCTAGACCACCTCCTGCCCTCCCCTCTGCTCCTCCCAGTGGAGCTCTAGCTCCACCAATACTTTTTGCTTTCAGACTACCTTACACATGTGCGTAGGAACTAATACCAGTGTCACTCGGTCACACATAAGTATGCATCTAACCAGAGTTGCCCAAGGTGACACTCCGTAAAAATGCAAGTGAAATGGTTCTTCTTGTCGTCGCAAGCCAGCATATCTATTTTTGTGAATGGGGGTAGCTTTGCGAAAACTGAATGATGATTTACACCATAATGCTTAGCTGTGCATTTACTGCACCCAATGTTGTTGTCATATGGGTATCAGCGAATCATATGTCTAGGTGACCGTGGTTGCGTTGTTCTGCATCCGTTGCAAACTTATTTTTTGGGATCACCATTTTCACTTCGTTCAAGACCAAACAGTCAGAAAGCCTAGCGGCAGACCCGACTCATTGAAACTGGCTAAGAATTTCAGGTGCCTTGAGCTTATTGCACCCCTGGTCTGATCAATATTTTAACTTGCTTTTGGCTGCTCGGAAGGATCCTGTCATACTCAATTTCATCGAGGCAATTTTACGTTAATTAGTGTCAATATTATGAACTGGTGCATTCAACGAAGCGAGGCGTATCTGAGCTGTTTGCTTATCATTCCATATTACCATCCGTAAACTGTAAGGTAAACATCATGAAATTGCAATTAATCACGGATATGCCACTCGGTTATTTCGTCGGCACCGGGTTATCTGTCGTTATTAGCTCGAGCGCGGCGCGCCTGAAAACCGAATAATCGAATCGTGCTCAATTGAAAAACTTTCCAGCCCTCCGGTTGAAGCCCGCTTCTAATAAGTTGATTCAATCATTGGCTGCGGGGTGGCTCTGAACGGCTCCCCTGCGGGTCACGTGCGCCGCCCCGCGGACGAACCGTGCTCAGCAGGGCATGTCACGTGCCCGGCACCCTCCGCTACGGCGGCTCGTTAAATCTGTCGGCCGGCCCGCCAGTTTATTCTGCAATTCCTCTTATTAAACTCGGCCGCTAATGAGGAGAGGGAGATGAGAGGACTGGGACGGCTGAAAGGATCGAAAGGGAGGAATGGCTCACCCTTAGCGTGATGAGCATTGCTCTTAGCTTTCTCCCAACCTGTTGGTACATGAAAATGAATTTCATATTTGAATACTAACGAACGCTTAATCGGCGTGACCATATCAAATCCTATGACATATTTAATGTTAAATGACTGCGTCCATGGGCTAGTACGCTTTCACAGGAATGTGTTCCTCACGCTTCTAGATCGACTTATTGCGACCGGGCTGGCACCGACTGTTAAGCAGGATGTCTACTCCGTTCCAACACGATTGCTGATAAGATTAGATAAGATAAGATTGCACGATTGCTGATTGCTGATCACTGGCGCAGCATTGTGCCATGTGTTTGTTGATCACCAATGCGCCCTGTCGCCACAATCATGATATCGAACTGAGGAAAACACGCGTCAGCTTTTCCGTTACGGAAACTTACTGGATCAAGTACGAGAAGCTATATCACACGGCAAATTCTCACATCACGCAACAGTACAGGCGAGACTGCACTATCCCGTTTGGTCTCGACACTGCTGGAGATGCGGCAGTCTCCGCCGGCCGGCGCGTCGCCGCGCTGCCGCCAGTCCGCCGCTGCCGCTCCACTCGCGCCTCCGCCGAAGCCCCAGCGCGAGCTGCCAGCGTCGGGACGCCGCCCGGGCGACCGCCGCCGTTGCCGGCGTCGCCCCGCCGTTTATCAGCGGGCGGCGGGCGGCCGGTTTCACGCCACTCGGTGGCAGCCGTGGGTGACCACGCCGCCGGCGCTTCGGCGGCGTTCGCGGCGCGTGGCGCAGCGGCCGCGCCGCCGAGGGCCGCCCCCGTAATGGGCCCGGCGGGCCTGGCGCTGACAGGCCGGCGGAGAAAAGTGTCCCTGGACCGGGCCGGCACGGCGCTGGGAGGGGGGGGGGGGGGGCGGGGCAGAGCGTGCACCAACGGCTGCACGGCCGGGAGGCGATTCAGCCGCATGCTAGGAAAATGCGGACTGGAATATGCTGCGGTATGCAGGAATCGGTCCGGAGATCAGCGCCGGCTGCCCTCGAACCTCGTGCAAACTCGGCTTTTGGCAATGCACGATGTACGCAATGAGTAATGGGCGATAAGCGCCCGACCAATGGTCATGAACGCGCGATTAATTTTGAGCATGATCCCAACCTTTCAAGGATTTTATTTCGACCTTTGCTTCTGCTATCAGATATTCTCCCAACTTACAACTGGCTTATGTTCGACAATGTCTCCCAGAAAGTCAACGGTTTGCTCGGTTGGCGCAGAGCCCAGGTTCCTCACGAAGCACAGCTTGTCGCGTGGGCACCGTCCCCACCGACCCGGCGATCGGGGCTTTGGCTTTGGTCGGAGCTTTGGTCGTGTTCCACCGTGAGAGCTGCAAACAGCGGGATTTTCAGTGTGCTGTGCAACGTCATGTTACGACAGCGAGGTGGGGGATTTTTCCTCTCCCTGCTGGGAAAATGCGACGCCCGTTGTAGCATAAAACGACCCGAGGCAAGAAACCGCAGATCAAAGGTCTCATTTCCTTCGACCACTCGTACTGAGAATGAGAAATCCCCTCGCCTGGGGGAAGAGTTTCTCAGCTTTGTCGGACGAATGAGCCTGGTAGTGCCAACCAACAAACGCCATCGGGCAGCCCACGTAAACCGCACAAGATTAGCGTTATGTAACATAGGGTGTGGATTAACTTTGATGTGTTAAACAGTGCCAGCGCGGTTGTATTAGAAAGTTTTGGTCCCCTAGCTCTCCTGTTTCTGAGAGCGAGTTTATCGTCCAGAAACCGCAGATCTTAACCAGATCCAGATCCAGTCTAGATCTTAACCCTCGCCCTCATTGGAGAGGGTCAATGCACCCCCAACCGTCCATATGTTTTGCTGAGGATATCGCAGCGGAATGTATTGAAATCACGCTTCAATATGCAACAGCTTATAGGGCATGAATTGTGTGTGTTTCGCTACCAGAAACGTGTCTCTAGCATTTCTGGTTCCCGAGCAGTAACATTTTTTAGGAACACTGCAACCGATCCCCTTGGTGGGCCCACACCGCCACATTAACGGAGTATATTTAACATGCACTTAAAACAGCTAGCACTACATGGCGATGTGCTCAGGATCAAACAAGGGGTACGCTGTGTAGGTTTCAGATCACTACAGGACATGGTTTTGTAAATGTGGGTATGTAAAGCTGAGAAAGTGCGATTTTAATTTTGGGCCTAGCATACTGGGGTCAGTGATAAACCTCGCAGCATACAATATAGTGTCAATCGCGAGATGTCGTTGAGACCTATCCACTGTTTTCCGGGAGGCTTTAGCGTTCTTAGTTTAGAAACGGCAGGGGGTTCGCATCAGCCCTCCTCCCCCTCAGTCCGCGTTGTGAAAGAGAGTAAACCAGAGTGAGGGTTAAGAACCACGTGAGCTCTGACCGTTTAAAGGACAGCGTTATATCGCCCTTGGTACATCGCATCATACGCCTATAGTAATCCATCAGTGGTCGCGGTCTGACAAGCCAAATCTGGCCGTAATGGCTACTACTTGTGTGTACCATTGTCCATGCCATGGGCACCAACACATCTCAAGAACTTGACGTTGTGCGGCAACAAAGCAAATCCCAACGGATTGCGTTCATCAAACGAAACCAAATCTCTTATTTCATTGCATTAACGAGCTAGGGAAAACGTGCTTTAATGGCTATTAATACATCCATCGCGATGCTTTAGATATGGAGGAAGGGACGATGTATAGCAATGGGGGTTCTGCGAAGGAATGCTACCTTGTTGGGAAGTGATGTTCCCTAATTTTCCGTAAAGACTTCTTTGTTTGCCACACTTGAACTAAGCCGACCTGAAATTGCAAAACCCTACTAAATTGATAGAAACCTGCCACAATATGTTACGATGAACAATGCGTTGGAACCCCACAGCAAATAAATGTAGGAAATTTCGCTAGAGCGCACATCTGAGGGCAAGTTTCCATCGCACACCTGAACGCAAAATGCGAGCGATATGACCATGCTTATTACCATGTGACATCTTCGTCCGAGTCCAGGACCTCGACATTTGAACCAGTTGCTGGACCTCGACATTTAAACCAGTCGCGGTGCACCTCCGCACAGCTCAGGCGAGGAAATGGAAGCACTACGTACCAGGTGGGATACATTTCGAAGGCGGCGACTTGCTCAAGAAGTGCGAGATGCTCGCAAGGGCACTTGGAAACGAAAGAACAACAATGAATCGTAGTCCGAGCAGCCTAAACTTACGGATGCATAATGTATGCTATTACAGCGTACCGTTCACCGTGCCAAACTGCAGTATCCTGTCGGCTGTGTCGCGTTACAGTATTCGATGCTGTTATTTTTCCGTACAGGTGTGGTTGTAATGACGTTGAAGCCACTGCGCCCATGATGATGAAGCCGAAGTTTTCAATGGTCCTCCTTTAAGCGTTTTCGCATCTGTTCTTCATTGAATGGCTACCTTTCACATGCCGCGGTGATAACTTGTTTATCGAAGTCGTGTCCTCAGTTAATCTGGGTCGATCAACCCGTACGAAGCCCACCACCATAACTGGTTTTGCAAAACTGCGGCCATGGCCCATGCGTCATGAGTCATACTGCAAGCAATAAGCGCTAGCGGTTCGCGTTGCATTCATGCGTCACACATCAAATTAGGTCGCAATATACGGGCGATAGAGTCCAGCTCAGATCGCTTTGCCGGGGTAAACTGACTCCGGGGTAATCTCA